GTGTTTAAGCACAGCCTTGTTGCATAGCTTGTTTGAGATGTTGCAGAGGGAATTCACATGTCAGGTAAGGGTTAGAGGAGATCCATGGTTCTCTCACTTTTTGATTTCATAGACTTAAGAGGATTTCAAAACTATTTTACAGATTGATGTACAGTTCCCATTTTAAATTAACATATATATAAATTAGCATTTTAAAAAACCCATACCGTTTACTATCACCACCATATTGCAAAAGAAAGGATTTTTTTTTTTCTTTTTCAGACAGGGCTTCTCTCTGTTGTCCAGGCTGGAGTGTGGCAGGGCGCTCATAGCTCACTGCAGCCTTGAACTCCTGGGCACAACGAATCTTCCTGCCTCAGCTACCCAAGTAGCTAGGACAACAGGTACACGCCACCAGTCCCAGCTATTTTTTTTTTTTTTAATTTTTTTGTAGAAACAGGGTCTTGTTTTGTTGCCCAGACTGGTCTTGAACTCCTGGTCTCAAGTGATCCTCCTGTCTTGGTCTCCCAAAGTGCTGGGATTATAGGCATGAGCTACTATGCCTGGTAGCAGGTATATTTAAATAATCCTATGCCCAATAACTTTGGGGCTTTGATTACTCATTGATCTGTATAAAAACTCCCACACCCCTTTTTTTCCAAAGACGATCTTGGTCAATCTTGTGGGAAGACTCTTAGATTGAGGTGTCCTTCTAGCCAGCTGTGTGTCTTTGTCAGGCTTCTAAATTTTTCTAGGTTGATAGCAATTTTATCTTTAGTTGAGCTAGGTTTCTAAATTTATGGATCCGTCCATAATTGGCAGCATAGACTATCCAAATACTTCAGGATCTTATCCAATTAGTATAAACTCAAGATCTCTGTTACTTAATATTTATGGAGATGTCCCTGAATAATATGTAGTTCATCTTTCCTCATCGATTTCTGGATTAAGCCAAACCATCAGAGAGTTATACAATCCAGTATTTTGCATTTTGGCCACCATAAAATGATTTTTACTCAATTATGCTCTGGCATTAAATCATTAGCCTATATTGTTAGACATTATGAAAGCATTCTGTAAAACTTATTACTATATTTACTGTTAAAATGTTATTGAGAGCACGGTTTTCTACATCACATAGTGCTCTTTTCATAGAGATACAAAGGAATAATAAAAATAATAACAAGAATTACTATGATTAAATATTGGAGACTTATTATGTGCCAGGCACTGCATGCTGAGTATTTTACATGCGTTTCCTTCTTTAATCCTTATAACATTCTTGAGGCTATTATTCCCATTTTACAGATGAGGAAACTAAAAGTTAAGGAAGTTACATAACCACCAAAGTTTACACAGATAGTAAAGAAAGCTAGGATTCTAACCAAGATCTGCCTGGCTTCAAAGTTAATGTTTTTACTCGTTATGCTATACTGTATTTTATAAAGACCTTGACCCATGTAAAGAAAGGGGAGAAAAATTCAGGGAAATGGGTCAATGTTTAGAAGGTTAAGTATAAACAAAAGAAAGATATAAAAAGAGACCAAATAGAAAAAAAACTTCACATTCTTTTACTTGTGGTTAACTTGGTAACATTGCAAGTGACACATAATTCAACCTTTTATGAGATCAATAAGAACAAATTTGAAAATCAAAGAGGATTTTTTTTTTGAGTGTACCCTTTGTGGAGCCTGTAATTCTGGTTTGGCTTAATCCAGAAATCAATGAGGAAAGATGAACTACATATTATTCAGGGACATCTCCATAAATATTAAGTAACAGAGATCTTGAGTTTATACTAATTGGATAAGATCCTGAAGTATTTGGATAGTCTTATTATTAAAAATTCTTTAAATTATTAAAAATTCTTATGCATATTCAGTCTCTCCTTGCTAGGACTTAGTGCCAGCAATAGCTGTGATGTTCCATTATTTGGTCCCTGTGTATCTTGCATCTGTCTCTAACAGGCACCATATAATATAACCTTTAGAAAAGTACATGCAGTTCCCCTAACTCATTTTACTTTTTCTCACCTCTCTGCTTTTGCACATTTAGCTTTCTCTGCTCTGATTGCTCTTTTTCACCTGGTTAAGTCCTTCCTCCTTCAAGATCTAGTTAAATAACTTAGCTAAAAGGCTTTTCCTGACTATCTAGGCTAGGCAAAGTACTCTTCTATGCTTCAACTGCAACTTATGCTCCCTCTATTTTAGCATTTGTCACATTTTATTGCAATGGTATGTACACATGCCTACCTGTTTCCAGGATTCCGTTAGACTATAAGTATCTTGAGGGATGAGAGAAAAGCTGTATTTTTCATTGCCAAATCCCCGCTTCCTAGCTTGGCACATGTTAGGTTATATGTTTGTTGAATTAATATATGAATGAAGATGCAAAAGTGAACACGAGACCACCCTACCTTTAAGAAGTTTACATTCTAGTGAATGGAGCATAATTTATTAGAAATAGCTGTAACACAAAGCATATGTGTTAAATACTATAATAAAATTTATAAAGCATTGGTTAAAGCTTAGAAATTAGAGAAAAAATTCTGAGTAAGTGAATGGGGTGTGAAAGAGATGGCATTTGAGGTAGGTCTTGAAGAATGAATAGAATTTTTAATGACTTTTTT